GCATGGTGGCGGCGGCGCCCGCCGCTCGGCCCGCTCTGCTCGGCGCCGGGACGCCCACCCGGCCGCGCCGCTTCCGCGCGAGCAAAATGGCGGCGCAGCCCCCGGAAGTCAGCGGCACGGAAGCCGCGGCGACGCGGCGTGTGCTGACGCGCCGAGGGAGGCTCCGCCCTGCGCTGGCGTGTGACGTCACCACGCTCCGCAGTAGCGCCCATGACGTCACAATGCCCGGCCCACATCGCTGGGGGTGACGCGAGATCGCTGGGCCTTCCCGGCGCTGGTGCGAGGCGGAGCTTCGCGTTCTCGGGTCTTGGTCGGGCCCGAGGCTCTCAGTCCTGTCGCCTCGAGTCGTCGCGCGTCCCTAGGCCCGCTCCCTCCGCCAGTCCCCGAGACCCGCCGATGCTCCTGCGCCCGCCGTGTCGCTCCTGTACGGTGGAGCCACAGCCTCCCGGCGGCCTCCCGTCCCTGGGCTCGCTCAAGAGCAGCACGTCGCGGCCCCCAGAAAACCCTTTAAAGTTTGACCGTTGAGGGAAATGAGGAACGTGCGAGGAGGGAGGACCCGAGGCCACCTGGAGAGACCCCGCCAGGAGGGCAGCTCGACCAGGCCTCGCATGGGGTTTGCTGGAGACGCAGCGGGCGCGCCGTGGGATTCAGGACCGCGGTGTGGCGGTGAAACTGGCCGGCGCGTGTGTGCTGCTCTCCGGCCAGTCCAGCCGCCGGCGCGGGCCTGCGGTGGCAGCGAGTCGGCGTTTTGCTGTGGGAGCGCAGCCGAGGGGACAGGGCCAAGGGAATGGTGATGGCCCACCTGGAACTGGAGCTGGGAGGAAGAGGAATGAAGGCCGTGGAGAGGGCACCGACCGCCGAGCTGGAGATCGCGGGGGGTGTGGGAGTTGTCCCTGGAGCGAAAGGGTGGTGGAGTGGGATGCTTGAAACTGAGGATTTTGGAGGTGGTCGATTTTAAAATACGCCTGGGACAGATGGGACCGTAGGCACCGGTGGGAAAGAGGCTTGCTGTTGAAAAGGAAAATGGGGCTGGCTGGTTGGCTCAGCTGGTTAGAGCAAGGCTTCATAACAACAGTGTCACGGGTTTGGATCCCTGTACCAGCCAGCCACCAGAAAACAAAGACAAGAAAGTCAGAAGCCAGGTGTGTCAGGGGGACCACCCTTATTGATATCCAAGTATCTTACCATCACCCTTGATGATTTCGTAGAGAAAAGAGTCTGTGAACCAGGTGCTAAAAATCTTTATGTACCCCTAGGGCATGGGGGGTGGGGAGAGGGAGAGACCGTGGATGTCTGCAACAAGGAAGCATGTACATTATAGGATTTGTGGAGCTGAAAGATGAATGCGGGGTCTTCCCCACCTGCTCCATATATATGTGGATATTCTATATGCAGAGCGTGAGGTCTAAAGGATACACACCAAAGTGAAAATGTACAAAACAAACAAAAAACCGGTGGAGGCTGTGTTGGTAATACCAAGGTCCAAGGGTTCAGATCCCCATACTGGCCAGCCAACTAAATGATAAAAAGCAAACGAAACGTTAAGGTGAGACTGCAGGTATTTACCGTGGTAGGATTAAGGGGAGGGGTTTTTGTTTGTTTTTTTTGTGTTTGGCAGCTGGCAGGTATGGGAAACCGAACCCATGACTTCGGTATTGTCAGTAAGGGTGCTTTAAATGCCTTTATATTTCTTTTGAATTCTCTTGACTTTGTTTTTGATGAGGAACGCTTTTTCTTTTACATTCACAGCAAATAATGGAGCTATTCTTATTTTTAAAACACAGCCCCTCCTTGACTTCCCCCATGTGCTCAGAGCACCTTAACCTGAATTAAAGGCGTTAGGGTCTGACAGCACCAGCCTCTGCTACCTCACCTCTTCCTATTGATTGTCCAGAACTTAATGGCCCAGCAACTGAACACTGAGTTCCCCATGCTTTTTTTTTTAACCTCTGCATATGGTGTCCCCGCATGTCAAGATTCTTTCTTAGACTCTCAATCTCCTCCTGCCCTGTTTTGCCCAGCCAAGTCTTAGTCGCTCATTGAGACTCATATGTCACTTCCTTCAAGAAAACTTCCTCCCTCCCTCCCCTTTTCTGTACTGTCCTATCTGCTCCGGACACCATATTTGACTTGCTTTTGTGGCTCTGAATGTTCTCTTTAATGCTCTGTGCTCCTCTGCCCCAACCCATTCATAGACTCTTGAGTTCTAAAGGGCTAGGCCATCCATCTCCATCCATGATGGCTTCGTTTCCTTACGTCCAACATATTTAGGACTGTTGTCCCTGTGGAGGCACTCACCGAGTGCTCATAGATGAGACCCATGAGGGGGAAGGAGCTATGTGGTGCTACTACAGCCCCCTGTGCATGGAGCTCATGCTACCAAGACTAGAGTAGAGTAGGAACTTCTCTTGCCACTTCTGTTTGAGGTCCGACTTGAAACTTTACTCATGGTGTGGGAAACCCAAACTGAAATAACAGTAAAAAATATAACTCATCTAAAACCATTAGAATCCCCAAGGCCCAGGCATAAACAAAGCCAGTCTTTCTTTTAGGATTCTTCCACAACCCATGGCATCTGGCCTTCCCATGGGACAAACAACCTCTGTGACCATGTGCTCCCAATAAAAGATTGAAAAACTCAAGGAGCTGCCATGAGGGTAGTTTGGTATACTGTATTTGACAAATAGGATAAGTGATTCCTCAAGAGTTTGAAAAAATAGAACAATCTGAAAGATGTTAAAATAAAGTCAGTCCAGGGCCGGCCCGGTGGTGCACTAAAGAGTGCGCCACTTGGGAGCGCAGCAGCGCTCCCGCTGAGGGTTGGGATCCCATGTGGAGACCGGTTCCCGCTCACTGGCTGAGCGCAGTGCGGGTGCAACACCAAGGGTTGCGATCCCGTTGCCGGTCCCTGGTACGGGCGCGACACCGAGGGTTGCGATCCCGTTACCGGTCAGTAAAAAAGACAAAAAGGAATAAAAAATAAAAATAAAAAATAAAGTCAGTCCATAAATAGCTAAGACAATTTTAACAGCTTTAATGAGGTATAATTAACATGTAATAAACCACACGTATTTAGTGTTCAATTTGACAAGTTTTGAAACATCGATACACCTGTGAACCAGTTGTAACAGAACAATGAAACTTTATCACCCTCAGAAATTTCTTCATGCCTCTCTAACTCTTCCCCTGTACCCTTCCATCTGCTCCCCATACTCCTCCTCAGGCAATCACTGATGTGCTTCCTGGTACTACAGACTAGTTGGCATTTTCTAGAATTATATACAAATGGAATCATAGTATGTACTTTTTGTCTGGCTTTTGTTATTCAGCATAATTATTTTGAGGCTTATCCCTGATGCTGTATGCATCAATAGTTGGTTCATTTTTATTGGAGAGCTGTGTTCGAATGCAGGGTATGCCACACTGTTTTCATGCACTCACCTGTTGACGAACACTCGGGTTGTTCCCAGTTTCTGTTATTACAGATGAAGCTGCTATAAAAATCATGTGCAAGTTTTGTTAAGTAAGCCTGCTTTCCATTCTCATGGGTTAATACCTAGGAGAGGAATAGTTGGGTCATATGTTTATGTGTACATTTTACTTTTTAAGAAAATGCAAAGAAGATATAACAACTATACTTTCATGAAGTTACTACAACAAGCAAACGGAAAAGACATTCTTGGGGGGGAGGGGAGAGAGGGAGGAGGGAGGGAGGTGTCGGTGATGGGCCATAATAATCATATACAGTGTATATTGACAAAATAAAAATTTAAAAAAAAAAAAAAAAAAAAAAAAAAAAAAAAAA